CATCCTCTTACTCAGTCATTCGGAACCACTACCAACAACAAATTATGTTGGAGGCAAAGTGTGAATTTGAAGAAACGTTTTGTTGGTTAATACGCGACTTGTGAACTTTCTGTATCTTAATGTGTCAAGTCCTTCGAGTTCAGTGCCACCATACAAAGTTGAAATGATATGTTCTCCCGCCGTTGTTACATCTTCAGTCGTGCTGTTTTTGCTAAGGAAGACCATTGCCACCGATACGAGGTGCTCACTACCTGAGATTCTTTTCATTGCCACTCCTTTCCCTAATCCAAACAAACGTGATGTCGTGTCGCAGCCACTTATGGCATGGATAACTGGTAAAACCTTGCACGTGTCCATTCCCAATACACGCCTGGTTTTTTCAATGTCCCACACTTTGACCTTACTGTTTCCCTTGATATCAGACATGAAAAAGATGTTGTTGTTTAGTGGTTCAGCTGACTGCAAAAGAAGCACTAACAGGTCAGTATCTTCTCCGAGCAAGACGGTAGTTTTTGTTCTGGATGAGGCAATAGCGGTGCGTCCAATTAAAACGTCGGCGTCCGCGGCTGCATGTTTTGTTGCTATTCCATGTTCGTTAAGCTTTGAGCTGAGCATATTTAGAAAGTTTTGCTTGTTTTCGTTATTGGCTAGAAACGCATCTTTCTTGGAACGGAAGGGAGTGTTCATGTTGAATGATACTTTTGTACCTACGATGCCTTTGGTTCGTCGAAGATGGATGGCGTCCTTAGTGTCAGGTCCTGCATTATATCCATCGAAGACAACCACAGCATCCTTATAGCGGTATCCAATGTAGTCGACGTACCGTTGGCATATCCCGTCAAATGTTTGCCCAGATACCCAGTGGATACGATGCAGGAGAGACCCTCCGTCAATGACATGCCTGACATTGTCCGTCTCCAACTCAATACCTACGCAATCGCCGAGATTCCAGATGTAATCCCCAAGTGAAGACTTCTGTGACATGCGCATCAGCCACGACGAATCAAACAATGAGCTGGGATAACTGCACAGTTCGTATGTAAATAGATCGCGCTGGTCATCGTACTCGCCATTGGCAGCTGCTATGAACCTCTGAAACAGCAATTGTGGATCAACGGTTATAGAATCACCTTCAATTTTGAGTGAGGACTTCTCGTTAAGTGTGACGGCTTGTTGTTTCTTCTTGAATGAATACTCATCAGCTTTCTGGTTATCCATCGTTTTCAGAATCTTTTGTCCTAACTCTTTCGCCCTGTCTACGTTTACTGTTGTTTCCGCCGTAACTCCTGTTTCAATGTTTCTTAAACTGTTGTCCCCGATAAATGGATTCCTCTCGGACAGAAACTTTGACAGGATCTTGGCATCTTTGGAATCACGTTGTCGTCTTGCCTCGCCGTCTTCTTTG